TTAAAAGTAACTTCTTTCCCCCGCTGCCCTATAGTAGAACTACTGCTACAAGGTGGCAGGGCTGCGCAAAATCAAGTATATATATATATGATTTGCATTTCCGGGCAGTGATGTCAATCAACAGGTCCCAACTGGAGATTCCCCACCGGCACCCAGCAATCATCGGGGAAAGCTGACAGGGAGAGAGACCTGTGTGTAAACAACACAGGTCTCTTCCCTGTCAGCATGGACATGCTGCTTTGTATCTTTACACAGCAGAGAGAGAGAAGCAGCAAGGACATGCTGCTTTGTATTTCTCTGCACAGCAGCAAAGCTACAAAGCAGCATGTTTCCTTAGTAAAAGACACACAGCACATAATGTAAAACAGCACACAGTTAACCCTTTGATCACCCCAGATGTTAACCCCTTCCTGCCCAGTGTCATTAGTACAGTGTCAGTGCTTTTTATTAGCACTGATCACTGTATTAGTGTCATTGGGATGTCAGTGGTAGTTAGTGAGTTCCCACCGTAGTACCGCAATAAGTTACTGATTGCCGCATTACTAGAATAAAAAAATTACATTTCCAGTATATATACCACCATTTGTAGACGCTATAACTTTCACATAAACCAATTAATTTACAGTACATGTCTTGGGAAGTTTTTTTAGCAAAGACATGTAGCAGATTACATTTTGGCCTAAATATATGAAGAAATTAGATTGTTTAACATTTTTTTTACTGAATATGTTTTATAGCAAAAAGTCAAAAATATTGTTTTTTTTTTTTCAAAATTTGGGCTTTTTTGTTTATAGTGACAAAAATTAAAAACCTAAAAGGTGATCAAAAGCCACCAAACCACCAAAGAAAGCTCTCATTGTGGGAAAAAAAGACATAAGTTTAATTAAAATACAGCAATTGTCAGTTAAATTAACGTAGCGCCTTATCGCAAAAAAAAATGGCCTGTTCAGGAAGGGGGGTAAATCCTCTGGAGGGCGAGTGGTTAATATGCAAACATTCAACATTATCTTATGTAACTGTACTCCATGGCACAATAACAAACCTAGGACACGTGATCATATATGGTTTGTCTCTTGATCAAGCATGGCACTGGGTTGCCAAGTCTGGAGCCCAATCAGGCTTCTTACCGCCATCCTAGATTCATCTAATTAGTGATATGCTGCATACCTAACCACAATTTCGGAAAGTCTCATGTTCCCTTTAAGTCTATAGAATAATTTTCTGTTCTCTGTCAACTTCAATAGAAACTTTCCACTACAGTGATATAGTTATGTACATCAGATAGGGACTTACAGCTGGGCTCCCTGGAGTAGTTAATCAGTTACCAACCTATTGTAGATCTATAGCTGAAAGATCCGTATTCACATTTCCTTCTATTATAACAATAGCTATATGATGTCCACTCACTAAAGAAGCTAAATTAGAGGAAATATTACACACTTTTGTACAAAGATATTAGGTCATATGCCTATTATACCTTATATACAATTAGTGGAATTACTGGTGCTTTCTGTATATAACAACCGATCTCTTCCCTCCTGTACAACTTTACCATATATCAGTTGCAGTAAGAGCTAGAGGAAAAGATTTCACTACTATGAACAACTTCAGAAGACCAGCTGTGGTGGTAAGGATTGTATTTTAAAGTAATGTACCTAGTGCTTTTGTTTCATATTGTACAGAGAACCTAGAATTTCTGGAAGACTATATTAATCCACTAAGAAGCTTGCATCTCCGATATAAGATGGAGGGGAGGTGTACACATGAACCTCCTGTAGAGAACTCTGGTCTATATCTTGCTCATCTGCTGCCACCTGAGAAGTGCTTAGGAATGAACTCCGTACACAGTCAAAGTAGGACTAGGGCCTGGGTGCACTTACATTGAAGAGACATATTTAAAAAATAAATAATAAATATATATATGGACAGTATATGGGACATATATAGCAATGCATACAATGAGAGCAGGTTTACCTGGAGGTAGCTCCTTTCAGCCACATACCAGAAGCCCAACATAGCTCACGGTGGTGAGCAGATGAATCTGAATCCCTGTGTACTGTCTTATTAGCATCCAATGGCACAGAGGTGGTGTTAATATACAGTATCTGGACTGGTGGCTTCTGCACACCAAAAGGCTTCAACTTAAACTTATATTTGGACTGTAATATCACAGTTGGGCACATCTAAAGTCTCGCAATATTTTTCCAGACAGTTGATACCTCCCGATGAGTGTCTTCAACAAATCCATCAACGCAACAATGTCAGTCACTTTTTAACCAAATATAAACTAGCGAATGGCCTTGCTTTATAGGTCCCATATTTGGTAATTTGTTTAGAGTTCGGGACTACACAGAGGTGCCTTGAAGTGACACTGCGGCCTCACATGGATCTGCAAATTAATACAACCTACCAAAAAGCAGAACAACTGCGGCTGTCTGATGGACAGAGGGATTTGGTCTCAAAAGAGGTATAGTTTCTCCAAATGAAGTTGGGAGCTTTGGACTTTGTAATATACATTATATTTACCTGGAAGAACTATTCCTCTTAATTAGTAAAACTACAATCTCATTTCAGTTTGTCTGCATTTATGGTCTTTTCATATACTGTATATTTATGTCCATTAAGATAGTCTAGCACAGCCTTTCTAAAATCTTTTTACCACAGAGGAACCCTTAAAATAATTTTCAGCTCTCAGGGAATCCCTGAAAAACAACAATTTGTTGGTGGTCAGTGGGAAAATGCCTTTTACATTGGTGGTCAGTGGGAAGAATGTTCTCCATTCAGTGGTGGTGGTGAGAATGCCAACCCTACAGACAGTTCCTTGGTGTCGTGATGCTGGTTCTGCCAAGTATTGCTGGCCCCAGTACTATACAGGCATTATCATATTGGAGTTCAATCAGCAAAAGTTCGAGCAACTTCTAGAGGAACTCTGGTTGGTCTAACATGTAGGAAAATGTATCTTCCTTGTTTTCATTCATTTCTGCACCCTTTTACAGTCTCTCTTTACACTGCTGGTGCTCCTTTTGATGGTTCCTAGTGATGGAAAAAAAAAAAATAATGGAAAAAGGTGTCCAGTGAACAAAAATGTGAAGTTTCCATCGGTATTGCATGTCTACATGAATGTTAGCGAGGAGTTTCAGTGGCAGTTAGATGATGAGAACATCAGGTCACTCTCTCCATGGATATACAGGTAATATATTACAATGTACGCATTCAAGGGATAAGTGCACCTGAGCCTACATTATAGACATTAAAATTTTTGCATATTCTTAACTAGCAGTAAAGGAACTAAAAAAAAGTACTGTGACATCCTTAATCCTCAAAGATCCTTAAAGCCCCACTTCAGGATATATTTAAAGATTACATATTTTGTGTTTTATTTGTTTCTAAGAGCTTCCAAAAACGTAATGGTTGGTTACATTAGAGGTATAGCAGACTTCCAAGCTTTTGTTTATCATAGAAAGTAAGGCTAGGTTCACACTATTGCCAGTGCAGGACAGGTTTGCACACTTTCAGCCAAAATATGCTGCTCTTTAGCACCCCCATTCTTAATGGCACCCCTATACATCTGAAAGCATGGTGTGGGACACTGCATGTTGCAAAAGCACCATATGGTTCCATGTAGCTATGTTTTTAAAAAAGGGTCCCACAGGTACAGCAGCCCATTCAAATTAATAGGTTTCTGTGTCTTTGCAAACGTGAGCTGCACTACCCACCATAGTGTGAACCTGGTCTAAAGTGGAAAGGAGCTGAGGCATCAGTGCATCTGATATGAATTTTGAAGATTCATTTCTCCACAATTCCTTTAGTCACAGAAGCAAAAGAGTTTTTTTTTAATACTTATTAAAAATGTGTTAATACTTTAACATGCATAGTCTGGGCACAGGTTCACTTGAATTGCTGTGCATGTGTGGTAGCTAATCCTCCTCTTTTTAACAGTAATGATGGATGGAGACATTTCTGATTTAAGCAAATATACATGTTCTGTCCATAAAGCTCTCAATAGCCATTTTCTTCAGTTTTGACCATTTGCCAATTTTTAATTCTTTGCCAGGATGGAACTAGGCGTGTAATAAATAAATCTATACCCACTCAACTCTCCCCTTTATACTGTTCTTTTTAACATCTCATGCACAGTGGACATTTAGGTATGAGTGGATAGCACAAGCTCATTGGTCTATCCCTGCTGGATGGTGCACCGAGTGCTACTAATGTTTGGCCAATATGCACCCAGTGATGAATGCCCAGAACACAACATTGCCATAGTTGTTAAAACAGGGAGCAGATGGAGGTGTACACATAGCAGCGTTAGCATGTCTTGCATTTCATTTAGGAAACATCCAACTGCTGCTTGCAGTGTTCGGCAGGAGTTGACACTTTGCTACCGCATCTATTCATTTCTATTGAAATATGCCGCAAACACACATCATTTCCAATTTTAGCATCACAGGACATTTGAAGAGCATCACTTAACCACTTGCCTACCAGGCACTTATACCCCCTTATTTACCAGGCCAATTTTCAGCTTTCAGCGCTGCCGCAATTTGATTGACAATTGCGCGGTCATGCAACATTGTACCCATATGAAATTTTGATCATTTTTTTCTCACAAATAGAGCTTTCTTTTGGTGGTATTTAATCGCCACTGGGCGCTTTACTTTTTGCGCTATAAATAAAAAAATTGCAAAAAAATTTGAAAAAAAAAAAAAAAGTTTCTTTGTTTTCTATTATAAAATTTTTCAAACAGGTAATTTTTCTCCTTCACTGATGTGCGTTGATGACCCCCCCCCCCCCCCCCCCCCCCCCCCCCCCCCCCCCCGCAGCACTGATGGGCACTGATAGGCGGCACTGATGGGCACTGATAGGCAGCACTAAAGGGCACTGATAGGCAGTACTAATGAGGTGGCACGGATAGGCGGCACTGATAGACAGCACTAATGAGGTGTCACGGATAGGCGGCACTAATATGCAGCACTGATAGGTGACACTGATGATGGATACTGATAGACGGCACTGACTGGCATCACTGCTGGGCACTGACTGGCGACACTGAATGGCACAACCGCTGGACACTGACTGGTGGCACTGACTGGCAGCACTGCTGGGCTGCACTGGTGGGTGGCACTGGTGGGTGGGCACAGGTGGGTGGCACTGGTGGGCACAGGTGGGTGGGCACAGGTGGGTGGCACTGCTGGGCACAGGTAGGTGGCACTTCTGGGTACAGGTGTGTGACACTGCAGAGTGGCACAAGTGGGTGCACTGCTGGGCACAGGTGGGTGCACTGCTGGGCACAGGTGGGTGATCTGCTGGGCACAGGTGGGCGGAGCTAGTGGGCGCACTGCTGGGCACAGGTGGGCGGAACTTGCGGGTGGCACTGCTGGCCACCGATCATCAGGGCACTGATCATCAGTGCCCTGATGATCGGTGCCGATCCTCGCTCTGACAACTGCCGGTTTCTCGGCAGTACTTTCCTCACGATCTGACAGCGTGAGGAAAGTGCAGCCGAGAACCGGCACTTGCATTTCCCTCTGATCAGTGTGTCATTGGACACCGCTGATCACGTGGTAAAAGGCCGCTGTGATTGGCCTTTTACCACATCACGTGATCAGCTGTGTCCGTAGGACACAGCGATCACGGAGATCGCCGGGTGCACGCCCCCTGGGGGGCGCGCAGGAGAGTGCGTTCTGGGAGGACGTCATATGACGTCCACTCAGAACTGGCCGGCCGCAGTGCAGCCGTCATTCGGCTATCTGTGGTCGGCAACTAGTTAAAGTGACTTGAATGCCAGTACAACACTTAATGCACATTAATGGGTGTTAAAGTGTATCTAAAACCAAAAATGTATTATATTGCAGCTTACTAGTCCTTGGTGTGGTGGCTGCATGAATATGTCTTCTTTCGAGCTCCTTGTGATTTATTTTCACATAGTAATCCTGTAAATAACACATTTCCTATCCTTAGGGGAAAAAAAAAACACTCCTCCATTGTATATATGGAGGGAGCTATGATTGTCACCCTACGTCTCCTGATATGTACTACGATCATGTCTGTATCCCTTCATCTCCATTACATGGGGGGCAGGGTGATTGGTAGCTTACAGACCATAGATAAGAAGGAAGAAGATATTCTGTAGTGCAGCTTGTAACAGCGTATACCCAGAGATGGACGCGGTTCAACCATTTTGGTTTCAACCTCCATCTTGGCAAAGGGGTTAACTGTCCTGACACATATATTTCTCCCTTATCCTTCCCCCACCCCTCCCTCTCACTGAGAGGAGACATCTGGCCAGTGTGTGTGTACTGTTTATGGGTTTATCTAGAAATTTGCGGCCGCTCGGCGTCAAGGCCCAGATGCCGGGAGACCGCACATTTGCCGCGCCAAGAGGTTAAAGGTACAGGAGCGCACTGGACACCCAGCATATAGCACAATGGCAGCCAAGGTGTCCTCCTGCTGCCTACTGAGCCAATGGGCACTGCTGTGCCTTCCCCCTTCTCAAGACTGCCATTTATGATTGGTAACAGAATATCTGTCAAGGTCCTACCTTTTCCCAGAGGTTATGTTACTCCATGTGCTGGCATCCATCTTGGATTTCTGCTGAGCATGGTGGGAATCTTTTATGCCTTCAGGTCTCTGAGGTCCATCCCCCAGAGGGGTGTGGCTGAGTACATATAAGCCTGTGATCCGCACATGCTCTTTGCACTTGTGTCTTGTGTCTTTGTCTTGCTACAGCTCTGTGTATACTCTCGTGACTCTTCTGGTATTTGACTCGATTTGTGACTAAGACCATTCTCTGTGTTTTCCTTCGATCTGACCTTCCGTTGCTGAACCCAGCCCGTGACCTGTTATTCTCTTTCTACTGTTCTGTACCATTTTGTCCTGTTGTTGTCGACCCGGCTTGCCCGACTACGCTATTGTCATTCTCACCAGCTACACGCCATTGGCGGCGGCCATTACCGCATCCGGGGTGTCTCGGGGGCCGCAACCTGGTTCCTGGCTGCGTCAAGTCCATCCCCACCATCAGGGGCTCTGGTGAAGGGCAGCCTGGGACTTAGACTCCGCGCCCTGAGGGACTTCGGTCTGTTGGTGGTGGTTGTCGTCAGCCAGTGCGTTACCCTGCCACTAGGCCTACCTGTCCGTTCCACAGCCCTGCCCTGACAATATCAGAGCTGAGCTGAAGACAGAACCAAGCTGCCTGGGGAGGGGGAAGAGCAAATCTGGGCAGGGGTAGCAGGGCCATCAATTTAGGAGAAGGTAATTTGGAGAGTATGCACAGGGAAGAGATACTTACTGCAAGGCTCACCTCTCTCTCTCTCTCTTCTCTATCTCTCTGTACTCTCCCCTCTCTCAGGAGTAACCCCCCATGCTCTGCCCTGCTGCCCCCTGTGCACTGCTTGTCACAAGTTAGTTTCTTAACTTATTAAAGTATACAGTAAGTTCACCTTTTTTAAAAAAATAATAAATGCACATCAGGGGCAGCTGCAATACGGGTATAACTTGTAACATGTTAGAAAAGGTGAACTTATTCTTTAAACATTTATTTTGAACATAGTGTAGAGACATTCTGTGATTAAGAAATATGGTGTGGGCAGTGCAATATGCAGGCGGGGCTTTCTGTGGGTGTGGCTTGAGTGTGGCCGGGGACAGCGGGGGCCCCAAGATCTCCTATTGCCCGGTGCCCTTTGTGTGGTCAGTCTGCCTCTAGTGGTGCTCCTGCCTCTGCTCCATGCTACAGACTCCTCACTTCTATAGACACAGGGTAGGCTGAAAGATGATAGGTGAGTGGGGGAAGAGGGGAGGACTGTGCCTGCTCCCACTCACACTATGCTCATGTCTCCTTCTTGGCTCTAGAGCTCACCTTTAAGGAGGAGGCAAGGAAATCCTCTCTAGGAGCACAGCATACATTATGATACATTACAGTGCTGTGGATGATTGTGTTGCTGTTTATGGTTCCATGGATTTTTACAAGAAAAAAAAAGGAAAACCCTGTGATTTATTGAATTGTTTTGCTATTGGTTGAAAAACATTTTTCAGAGCAAAACAATGAAATAATGACAAACAATAATGACAAATAGTGCAAAATGATAGTGAAAAAATGACAGATATATGCATATATACATAAATATATATACTGTATATAGAGTATCTGTCTATCTATGGACTTCTTAACATTACCACATTCCGCACTATGTAAGTAATCTCAGACTCTATTTAACCACATCCTCTCAAGCCACGCCCAATATCTAGTGCAATTTTAAGCACGCCCTCTTTTTGCAGCAGCACACCTAGCATGCAGCATTTATTTATTTATTTATTTTACTCAATCCATAGGGCCATTTTTGATCTTGCACATCGGCCCATTGATTTCATGATACGCTCCTGAATCTAAGACATCATGAAAGCGTTCATCTTTAGTTTGCCAATAAAGGGTATCACTTATATTCCAAACTTTCTGCATTTATTGATGGCTAATTCTGTACAGTACTCTACTGTGGTGTATTAATAGAGGAAAATGTGCCCTCTTGATCATGCTTTTTCTTTATCTGCTAAAATCAGGTTTACCTGTCTTTGAACAGAAGTTTGTAGGCAAGATTTCTCAGGGTCTTTAATTCCCCGTCCATTCATTACCTCCATTGCGCTTCCAGAAAATTGTATAAGCATTACAGGTATATGTAAAACCTCACCTTGTAAAACAACCTATTCAGTTTAAAACAGAAATGAAAGGCAAAACATTTGTGTATACATATATAAAAACATTCTAAATACCTTTTCCCTGTTTTATAAGTGATCACATATCCTCTTAGCTTCTTATGCAGCTGAGAGCAGAGAGCTGGGAGAGAGAGAGAAACAACAGCACACTGAATTTTCCAGTGAATAGTTGTGCAGGGGGCAGGTGTGTCGGCAGAAGTCTGATCATTGAAGGAGAGCCGACTGAGTGCACAGTACACCTAGAAAACTGGCCACACTTTGCTCTCATGCCTAGTGTAGTCAATTTTTACTAGGAAAGCAGAGGGATTGGCTGCAATTCCAGGTATTTCACACAAAGGAAGTAATACAAAGAGAACAGGATACTTTTTCATACAAGTACATGGAACAGAAGGCACATCAGGAATATGAAATGTTGGGTTTACATATTTGTAAAACTCAGCTCCGGGAAATCTGAAAATGCCTCCTTTCTGTGGGGCTGCACCTGCACTGTGAGGGTTAACTGCTTGTTTAGGTCTAGGGAAGAGTAAAAGCACTTTTACTTTCCTGATCCTCTGCTCCAGTGGCAAACAGCACTCCCCCATACTCTGGTGGTAGACTGTCCCTTGGCGTCATCATGTCTAGTGCAGGTCTATTAATTCTGCACTGGACCTTTGAACGTATGGGGAAGAAGACAATACTGAGTAAGTAAATCTTCTATTCTATGTTTGGTAGACCTAAAAGAGCCGTTAACTCTTGCAATATAGACACAGTACCACTGGAAGGAGGAATTTTTAGGGTTCCCAAAGTCTGACTTTAAATAAATATAAATCTGTTCTCTAAAATCTCATATAAGATATCAGATAACATGCTAATGTAATATCAAGGGTTGTTTTCAATCTCTTTACAACTGTAGCTTTCAGTAACATAATACCTTTTTCAGGCTCTTCCTGTTATGGGGTGACAACAGTCTGACCTGCATCCCAATTACTTTCCTGTGTTGTCATCCTAGTGGATACTACAAGGGGTGTGCTTGCAAAACCATGTTTCAACATGTTCTAAACTGTATTTTATGAAACAAATATGATACACGGTGTTTTTGCAAACTAATTGTCATCAATTTAGGATTTACTGCACTAGCAGGTTATTCCGGAAAAAAAAAATTGAATAAGACATGATGGAGGTGTAGTACTATCTACTACAACACTGTTGCTGGTTATTTCATTATAGCTATGGCAGAACCTCCTATCTAGCACCCATTTTTAAAGATCTCAGCAAGTGCAATGGCAGTCTATCTCAGCATCTGTAGAACAAAAGGCTCTTAACAGAAACTAGCTAAAATCCTTGCAATGTATATACTGTAGTTTACTTTAATGGTATTGTTGTCTTTCCAGCCATACTTTAACAGTGTGTTGTTTTTCTTCAGCTTTGATGAAAACTACAACAGGTTTCCATCCACCATGAAAAACGCAAATTGCCATGGCAGTTGTGTGGATTCCAAGGGCAATGTGGACTTGAGCCTAGACCCAGCCCCCATCAAGCAGGAGATTCTGGTCCTTCTGCAAGAAGTTAAAGGATGCAAAACAAGCTTTAAGTTAAAGACCACAACGGTCTCTGTGGGCTGCACTTGTGTCCGACACTAATAATAAACAGAACACGTACTATATGGCCAAAACGTTTGGTGGATCTCTTACTGTCACACCTATATGAGCTAGTTGGACATCACATTCCAAAACCAAGGACTTTAATATGGAGTTGGGCCCTTCACTTTTCTAGGAAGGCTTTCCATAAGATTTTGACATGTATCTGCCCATTCAGCCAAATGAATATTTGTGAGGTC